CCATCTCCGGTCGCCATCTCCGGTCACCATCTCCGGTCCCCGTCTCCTTCTGCGATAATCCCACTTCTTCCACGGTCGTCGTTCCCTCCATCTGCTTCCACAATCGCCGTTCGCTTCAGGTATTTCCCCAAAATCGAAACCACCGATCGAAACCACAGTCGCCGTTCGCTTCCACAAGTCGCCGATCGAAACCATAGTGGCCGTTCGCTTCCACTGTCGCCGATTTTCTTCCACAGTCGCCGTTCATTTTCTGGTCGAAACCACCGATTGAAACCATCGCATAACCATCGCTTCCACAGTCGCCGATTTTCTTCCACAGTCCGATTTTCTTTCACGTCACCGCCTCGTCGCCTTCCACAGCCTCGTCGCCGCCTCGTCGCCTTCCACAGCCTCGTCGCCTTCCACAGTCCGATTTTCTTCCACAGTCCGATTTTCTTTCATTTGGTTTAGGGTAGCATTTTTCTGTCTAGGGTTTGGTTTAGGGTAGCATTTTTCTTTGAAAATTGATGGTGTTTATTGCTAACTTCATGTTTGTAACAATGTTTGGATTACCTATGTTTTGTAATTTCTTGAGAATTTGTGATCTTGATATGAAGAACATGAAGAACAGCATCTTTTTTTTTTCTAAAAAAATGTTTAGAATTGATTGTATTTCTTGAGGGTTAAAATGGTAATTTTGCTGTCATTCAGAAAACAATTACCAAACAACTTTGTTTCATTCAGCACTTAACCATTCTGACCCTCTTAGCCATTCTAACCTCTTAGCTATTCTGAACTAAATCATTCAGCAACTGCCAAACAGCCCCTTAATTTAATCTATTAACGAGAAAAAAATAAATTGAATAATTTTTTACGACACAATTTTATATAATTTTTAGGTAAAAAAATTTAAATTTCAAATTTATTAAAATTAAGTAAACAACACTAAAATTAATTATATATTTATTTTTAAATCTAAATTATTCATATTATAATAAAAATATGAGTTAGGTAAATTATGAAATTTGTTTTCGAAATTTATTTTACTGCATCAGAAAATTAACAGGCTATATATTATCAACAACTGAAATTTATATTTTGCCAAATACAAATCAAATTTTTGTATGAGGAGTTGAGATAATTTATTATATGTTGTTTATGATACATGATATATATTACAGATACAGAACTGATATATAATTCACTTAAGTTTGATCAGAGTAATTCACCGGAAATGTAGATCTGCCGGTTTATTTGCAAACATGTTCAGCGTACAAGGTTTATTACCAAGAACTCCGGCTTAGAGGCGATAAGGGTCCAACGGTGTTCCAGTGCGAGGAAGTGGTTTGACAAGGTAGGCCAAATAGTCGGCTATGAAGTTGTTGTATTGATATGATTTGAACATCTGGGGAGTGTTCGACGTAACCAGCTCTTTTGCAGGTTCTACAACAACTGGAAGAATAGGATCTGGACCAAAAAAAGTGACAATCGATGTTCGAGCTGCAGTTGAACTTGTGACACCACGATGTTCCACACCCTTTAACTTCCCATTACTTATAATCTACACGAAAAAAACAAAAAAACAAAAAGTTGGTCAGAATCATGTTTGTGATTTAACCAACGCTTGTGAACCAAACCAGATCAAATCAGACCAACATATATGTCTAATATCAGGGTTTGATTAATGAAACATGAGCTTATATCAGATATAATCATTACCTCGAGTTGGTAACCAAGGTTGACCACAAAAGCATTTGGAATAGGGTCAATACCCATCCATTTCCCATCTTTATGAATTTGTAGCCCATATTGATCTTGTTGAAGGAAGGTTATAAGGTTCGGGTCGGTGTGGCCACCGATACCCATGGCTAAACTCGGGTCCGGACATGGCGGGTAATAGTTAATCGCCATCGCTTGTTCCTGGCTCACTTTGATGAAGTGCCCTTCTTTAAGTCCCAATCCTTCCCCAATTAGATCCAAAATCTTGAACGCCACTTTCCGAACCTCAACAACATATTTTCCCACCTCCTCCCTAAAACACACACGATCGCAACAAGATGAATTTGTTGTTAGCAGGGCCAGCCCAAAGGGTGGGTGAGCCAGACGACAGTCCAAGGCATCAATTTAAGCCAAGTGATATTATTACTGATAAAAAGTTATAAAGTGACAACTACAAGACTTGAACTTTAAACCTCTTGCATTTTTCCCGACTTTTGTCTTGTTTTCATGAAAACATTTATTCAAGAATTAATACTTTCTACGTATTTTTGCTTTGAAAATCATGTAATAGTATTTGTATGTTAATTATTCTTTTTGCCAAATAAGAAAAAACGCAGGAAATTAAGAGGATCAAACTCTATATAATTAGACCACTAGATAATTTCAACTCGGAACCACAAATATCTTTTGTTATATTTTCTAAAATCAAACTATGTATAAAAATATCTAGATTACTATATAATTTCAATTTTTTTTTTTGTGATTTCCATATTCATAAATATGATTCTTGAAGATTATTTTTTATTTTGTATTATAATTCTTGATTCGATGTTGAATCTCGGAATTCCAATTTTGTTGTCACCCATAATGTGGTCTGTTGCCTAAAATTATATATAGTTGTTTAAATTACATAATACTTGCTACTCAAGGATGTTTAGATATTTAAAAATATGATATACGTATTATATTAAGTTTTCCTAAGTTTTAAGACAAATTAAACATCTTTATATGGTTGTATACAATTAGTTTGTGCACAACTATCATTATATGCAAGTTTCTAAAGTTCAATTTAACTTGATGTTACATTATGATATTATATAATCATAAGAGATGCATTACAGAAAATAAGTTATCATTTAATAACAATAACAAAAATTGGCTTAGGTATGAGATGTCTAGCTTGATTAGGTTCCAAACCCTTTGAAAGATAATATGTTTCATTTGTAGTTTTTAAATAGTGGGGACATTATTTTACCTACTCGTCCAGGGCATGAGAAACCCCATGACCGGCCCAAGTTGTTAGATACTACTCAGATTAGTTATCACTACAACAAAATTAGGTTTATAAGACGTTTAAACTGTTTAAGCATCTTAATAGCATACTTTATATGAACAATTTTAAAATACTTTTTAAAACAACTAAAATTATCTTATAAACCTATTGTAACAATTTTAGATATGAACTTTATAGTTAATTTGGTCCTATAAACTTAAGTTCTATAAAATATTCTATTAAGACGTTTAGATATTCTAGTTTATAAAACCAACATTATTGTGATGTTTATCGGACGCTTTTAAATGTTTTAACAAATTTTTTGTACACTTTTAGAATAAAAAATTGTATTAGTTATTTTATACAACAATGTTGACACTTTTTCAAATATTGTCGTATAAAATAACTAATACGACACTTTATCTTAAAAGTGTCCAAAAAAGTTGTTAAAATGCTTAAAAACATCCAATAAACCTATTGTAACACTTTTAAATAGAACTTTTTACATGTTGGTCCTATAAAGTATACACTTAAACATTTTCAACGTCCTATAAACCTAATTTGTTGTTGTAGATACGTGCATACTTGGCTAAAATTCATCGGGAAACAATCGAGATTTACAGTGTTAGCAAGTTACCGGTATCTGACAGGTTTTTCCGGCCAAGATGGTGTGTGTTCTTCTAAAGGATAAGATCGGTGTTTCAAAGTGTCTTTCCAGTAATGAACATCTTCTTTCGCGTAATCCAAACCGCTCGTATAAAGCGTACACCCCGTACCAAAGGTTTCGGAATAAACGCCCAACTTATCGTCAATCGACATGTTAAAGAACTCATCGTACAAAACCCTAATGTCCTCCATCATCTTCGCTGAAACTCCATGATTGATCACCTGAAATTAGGGTTCATCAAGAATCTTATAGTTAACAAGTAGAATAGAGGTTTAGTTGAATCTAGATATCAAGATGGGGGTTAGAAACTAGGAAAACCTGAAATAACCCGAATTCTTGAGAAGCTTTTAGAATTTGTTGGACGATCTGTGATCGGTCGACATTAGGGTTTTCTTGAAGATCGATCACGGGAATCTCGTTGCAAACTGAAACGAAATCGCCAGGTCTTCTTTCTGGTGGCATTACATAATCTTTAGGAACGGATTGAATTCCATTAGACCAACTAGAAACCAGTAGAGCCATCGTCAAGTTAACTCAATGTGGTTGTGGCAAAAGTAGGTTTGCAGACCCGGTTTTATAAGATCAAATCCGCCATTTTTGAGCTGAAACCAAGGTTCACAACCAACCTTCGATCGCCACGTGTAAACGAATAATTAGATGGCGAAGAAGATGCTTTCGGCTATGAATTGATGTCAGATTAAAGAATTGGATTGTAATGAAGAATAAGACATGCAATTCGAGTTAAAAACGATGTCATCCTTAACAATGTTTGAAGGTAAAACCAAATTAGAAGCTTCTTTGGTGTATTCTTGGTGATTTGGAAATTACAAGCATTATAGATACATCGACATATATACATATGCGCCAAACATGTCGATAGTAGTGTCGTACGTAGTATGCAAATATGATAACGATCGTTAGGGTTTGATCTTATAAGCCTCCATCATTTCCTTTCGGTGTTTTTTTTTTCATTAATACATATATAGAGCTTAAAGAAATCTTTAAATTTAAAGGGTCGATAAAGAGGGACCCAACAGTCGATTTTGCCGACTATGAGCTATCAAGACATGGATTGATGAAGCTTACAATCTACGTTCGAGCTTCCCTTGCTTTTGTCACTGCTCTATGTTACGTACTTCTCTACTTCTCATTGATAATTATCTACAAACACAATCTCAACGATATAAGCGACCTTAATGGAACTGGAGATGGCCATTTGCCCCTGTTTTTTAGGTAGAGTTTTCGGGCCATTAATGAACCCGTTCATCTAAAGAATGGCAAGGGTGTCTTAGATGGTCTCTCCAGTAAAGTCTGCAACTTTTATTTGGGATCCATCCACTAAACTTTCGCCATCTCCTAATTCGGTATTTTGAAGAAATCTTTGATCACTTTCATGGTGAACCAGGCCCCTCACCGACAGGAAAGACCATTTAAGTACCCGGTAACCGGTTGAAGCATTAACCAGTTATCATGCTGATGTGGTATCCAACTCAATATTATTTGCTGACGTGATTAGTGACATGACTTTTTTAATCTAAAATTAGTCTTCAACCTGTTATCTGTTATCTGAGTACTTAAATGTTTAAAACTTTATATCTTAGATATCAAAATGGAAGTTTTTGAAAGTACGTTGATCAAAGTAAGAATCAAGTTAAAATACATTACTTTTTCATGCAATTTGCCATTTCTAAAATCGTATGACTTCATACAAAATTAGAACATGGGACAAAAGGTTTTGTCATAAATCAGAACCTACAAGCATCATTGTTAGAACATATGAAACTTCTTATTACATTCCAAAAGAGTTCTTAATAAAGAAATCGACAAGGGATATGCGTTATTTTGACCACATGTCCACAGTAGTGTTACGGTGTGCAGACATGACAGCTATATATGGTTAAAGTTTAACCTTATAACTCTCCATCAATGCTGTAGTGTCCCCTTTTTTCTTTTCATAGAACTTAAGGAAATCTTCAAATTTGAACGGTCGATAAAGAGGGATGTCGGTGTCAATCAATGATTTTGCCGGTTCTATGATGCTATCATGACTAGGATTGATGAAGCTCACGATCGACGTTCGAGCTTCCCTCGAGTTTGTCACTGCTCTATGTTCAGCACCTCTCAGTTTCCCGTTGCTAATTATCTGCAACACAATCTTAACAATGTAACTGATCTTGTGACTTTATAAGATGACAAATATGTCTATATGTCTCAGTAAATTGTTTTATAAAACTTACGTTTATAGAACGACTCAACAAATGTATGTCATATGTAAAAGTGTTATAGCATGATATTAGGTCATATATGGGTCTATTAACAAATATTTTAGAATTTTTTAAAACAAAATATCATATTAAGCTTTTTTATAAGACATTTTTCCAAATAATGCTCAAAATTCGTTATAACATTTTTTACTTAGCACTTTTACGTAGAATCCACGGTAATTTGATTTAATAAATTTAAATCATATAAAACAGTTTATTAGAAGATTTAGGCAGTTTGACATCTTATAAAACTGATTTTATTGTAATAATTTTCAAAACAAGTACGATTGTACCATTCACCTGTAATTGGAGACCGATATTAACCACAAAAGCATAAGGCACCGGTTTAACTCCAAGCCACTGCCCGTTCTTGAAAACTTGAAGCCCGTACACGTTTTCTTGTAAAAGTACAGTAATGACACTGGGATCAGCATGTTTTGGTAATCCCAATGTTAGATTCGGATCTGGACATGTGGGGTAGTGGTTGATCGCCAATAATTGGTCCTTAATCAATTCTTCACCAAAATATCCACTTTCGAGTCCGAGTCCTTCACGAATCAACTCCAACATTCTCAACGACAACTTCCTCACTTCATCCGTGTATTTCCCGACAACATCTCTTCAAAACAGAACAAAACAAGAAACATCAACAATCATGAAATCAAAAACCGAAGATTATGATTCGGGTTCTTCTTACCGATATCTGGTAGGGTTTTCGGGCCATAAATGAACCCATTTATCTAAAGGATGACAAGGGTGTCGTAAATGGTCTCTCCAGAAATGGATCTCTTCGTTGGCGTAGTTATAACTGCTTGTGTAAAGTCTGCAACTTTTATTCGGATCGATCGAATATATTTTCGCCTTCTCCTCATTCGGCATTTCGAAGAAATCTTTAACCACTTTCATGGTGTCATCAATTAAATCTCCAGAAACTCCATGATTGATCACCTGGTGAAACGTTTAAGTGTTGTAATAAACTACTTTATAGGACTTAAGTTTTTAGGAACAAACCTTTGTGAGTTATATATAAAAATGTTGTAATAAGTTCATATGATGTTTTTAAGCGTCTTCACAAGCTTTTAAGGACACATTGGAAGCAAAGTGTTCTATTAACCCTTTTACATAACACTTTTAAGAAAGTGTCCTATAAACATATATTTGTTTTATAAGATATTTTTTCAAATAATGTCCTATAAAAGGACTAAATGACCTTTTGTTTCAAGGACTTAATTTTATAGGACGAAACAAAAAAACGTCATATCTAAAGTGTTACTACAGGTTTATGTAACCCTTTTGGACATTTTAACAAGTTTTTTAGGACGCTGCCAAAATAGAGTGCCTTATAAAAGATGAGTTTATAAGACATTTATCAAAAGTGTCATATTAAAAAGCTAATACGACATTATTTTAAGATCATTCTAAAAACTTGTTAAAATGCCTAAAAGTATCCTACAAAACCAAAATCTATTGTAACACTTTTAGATAAGACGTCTTATAATTTGATCCTATAAAAAAGTATTATTAAGACACTTAGGCAGCCTTTATTTTCTAATAGGTGCTGCAGTATGAAGTCTTATTTCACTTCTGATTAATAAAAGGTGATACTAAAGTCTGAAATCTAAATCAATAAAACTGTTTGTTTTTGTAAACTGATACATGTTTGAATTTATTTAAATTGTCTAGCTTACCCATTAGAAAATTATAGTGTTAATTCATAGATAAATTTATACAATTTCACATATTTATTCATCATCAGTACGGAATTTACATCTAAATTATATAATTAACATTCATTTAAACGAAAATATGTCATTGACGGTATTTAACACATTTAAAATCTATTAACATACATCAATCGATAGAGGCGAGGATCGATTTGATAAGGCGACGGAAAGGATCAATTAAGGTTAATCGATTGAGGAACATCAGCTGAGAGTCTGGAGAACAATAGGTGGTTGGTTTACCTCTTATTAGATAAAAAGACAATAATACGTAAGTGCATCTGAAAAAATTGAAAAAAACAAACACCTTGAACAGTTCTACCAGTTAACGAATCAGACATAAAAGACTGATAAGAGTTTTTTTTCCCCTTAAAACAAACGGTCTTGTAAACCTGATTTTATTGTAGTAACGGATCGAACTAAATGAAGATCTAACCTGAAAGAATCCGAATTCTTGACAAGCAGAAAGTATTTCTTGAATTGTTTGAGTTTGATCTTCAGCTGCACCCAGATCAATCAGTGGGATGTTTTGACATAACGGAACCTCGATGGAACCTGGCCTTTCACCGGCGGGAAAAACATAGTTTTCCGGCGAGATTTGAACAGTCTTGGACCAGCTTGAAACAAGATTCTCCATGGTGTTTGATTCAGCAAGATAAAGATATTGATTATGGCTATAATTTAACCATTTTAAAGGTTGGATCATTTTGACTTTTTGCGATGAATATTTGATTGTGAAATATTGTATGAACAGTTGCAGTTGGTGGCGATTTAAATAATCATTGATCGCCGGAGTGGTAGCCGGCGACGGCGAAAAAATGTACAATTCGGTGACGATTTCATAATTATTTTATGGTCAACGAATATTCCGGCGACCGGAAGTAGATATATTGGTCAACGCTACTATTCGAGCGACTAAGGTACAAGCTCTACTGCTTAATGTACAATCGTTGAAACTATCCTTTTTTGAACTTGGCATTAATTATCTCATCTGGACAAGTTATTAATTAATACCATTTAGTAAAAAATACAAGTTTTTTTTAAGTTAAATATCTTAATGAAATATAAAGACCAATAATTAAGTCGAGCTCGACCCTAAACTTGATAATTCTCGAACTCGAACACAAAATAAAACTTGTTTAATTTAAACGAGTCGAGGTTTCTTCAAACTTACAAACCAGTTTTTATGCATGTATAAAAATGCAACATTACACAATATTGTTTATATTGGGAACTGTGTGTTTGGAGAGAAAATAGTTCTCAATGTTTCACATGTGAAATAAAACTATATAAACACTGTTTTTTTTACAGTTTAAACCCTCTTTTACAAGATTACAAAACTAAAATGACTCGCTTACATTCCTAGGGATGTCTTATCGTAAAAAAATCAAATTGCTTCGAGCATCCGACTTCACCAAAAATACAATACTCAGAATACAATGGATCCATAGGCATAGAAGTTGGTTTTATTTGACATGTTTGGGACGATATTCTCTATTTTGAACTTGAAATGGGCAATGGCTCTTAATAGTGGACTCGGTGTGGACTCTTGGAGTCGGGTATCAACAAATGACCAATACAGTGTATTTCCAAGTGAATTAGCTTAACTCGGATTATGGAGATCTCAAGGTAAAGACTTGAGGAGTTGAACTTGGTAATTCCACAAGCAAAAGACTCGAGGAGTTAAGCTTGCTAATTTGGTTATCCAAAAGTGACGCTTATATAACATTGAAATGTGACTTACTTATATGTCCTGTCACTATCAATGGGTAAATCTGGTCTCTCCCACCATCTTATGATGTCTTACATTCTTTCAAGGATAAGGATGGTCTATTTATACAAAATTTACTTAATAAAAACTATAGTTTTCGTTTTTAATGTTTTATAGCTTTATTTATAAACTGGTTGATCTCACCAGACGTTAGCCTAACATTTTTTCTTAAATTATATATATGTCAGGATCTCTTAACGGGAGGGGTCCCAAGGTTTGGTTTAAATTTAGGGGATGTTTACTAATCTTTTACCACCTCTTACCCGTTAAGAGATGCTTACCCGGGTAAGGGTAAAAGTGTTTACCTAACAGCAAAATCAGCAATCAGATTTCCGGCCTCTGACCGTCCTCTTATTGGAGTCAACAAAAAAAATGAATCTTACCAGGGTAAGAGGGATGTATTCCGTATCTACCCTCTTCATCTAAAACCCTAAATTGATGCTTCTTTCTTCATACAAACAGAGTTTTGGGCATGTCCGATTCAAGGTAATGAAGAAAACTTCATACAAACAGGTGTCCATATCCGATTACTTTGAAGAAACAAAAACTTCTACACTCTATTAGTTTTTATCTACTGTCGGTGGCCATGTCCGATTCAAGGGGTTGGACGGTGACGAGAGGGAGAGCGGCGGCCGGTCGGGGGTGGCAAAGAGAATCAGGGGAACTAGGGTTTTGGGCAAAGAGAAATAGGTGGGGAAGAGGAACGCCGGCACCGTCGGTGGCCATGTCCGGTTCAAGGTGTTGGAGGGTGACGGGAGGGGGGCGACGAGAGGGCGGCGACGACGGCTGGTCTGGAGGTGGCAGAGAGAATAAGGGAAGTTTTGGGTAAAGAGAAATAGGGTTTTTAGTGGAAATACATATAGATCAAATATAATTGGGCTCTGGGTTGACATGGGGTCTGTCCCTTTTTAATCTTATCCAAATATAATTGGGCTTAAATAATACAATAATGTTCAATTAATACTTATTCCAGAAAAAAGGATATAATGATTTTTTTTACTCAATCAGCACTTAATACAAAATGTTTGGTAAACAAGAAAATACAATATGCATTTACTCCAGTCAGACCTTTTATCCAAATCAACACTTAACCAAAAAAGTGGTAAATGGTCCCTTACTCTTATTTTAGGAGTGTTACAGTAAAAGAATAGTATATGACTCTTAGTTTATTTGAGAGTAAATTATGTTTTTTAGTCCCTGTGATTTGTTGATAATTGTTATTTTTTCCCTATGCTTTTGAAACTGTTATTTTTATTCTTATGGTTTACAACTCATTACTGTTTTGTTATTATAATTTACAATTTACTGTTTTTCTCATCCTTGTGGTATACAATTCATTTTTATTTGCGTCTCTCATATTTACTCATATGTGAAGGTAGGAGATTTGTCTGAATGACGAACATGACAATGAATTAAAAATCATAAAGACGAAAATCGAAATTTTAAAACAACAGGGACAAAAGTCGTTACTTTTAAAAAATCATAGGGACTAAAAACGTAGTTTACAAATATTTTATAGATTTTTCCAATTTCATATGATCGTGGCGTGTTGGCACCGACCTCCCCCACATGCATAATACTACTATATATATAAGTCAAATAATAGTCTATTGTCATGATTTTAAGAAATCTTTAAAATAAAAAATAAATTACAAAAGCCATCCTTATAGTTTACTAAAATTTTGGATATCATCCTTACAATTCTAAAATTATACTGATCGTTGAAGCGGTCAGCGTCTCGTTACAGATTAGATCTCTGAGGGTACTTTAGTCATTTTGCATGTACTGATTGAAGAACCCATATGGAAAACCTCATCTTCCACGATGTCGGTGCACGTGAACCAAGGCCGAGTACAAACCAGAAAACCAAGTGGAGGTTGAGCTTGTAAGTAGCTTTTTCAAATGTCAGTAGCAGAACGTTCTGTCAGTCAGAGAGCTAGGATCACTGCCAACTAAGTTAGATTCTTAAATTAGCAAAGCTCATCAATGGTATCGGTGGTGGGTTGTTTCTCCGCTAGGGTTTTGTTGCCGATTAAAGAGAGGATTGTAGAGAGTGTGATATGTATTTTATGATGAATGATTTTCATCATTATTCAAGGTTATTAATCATAAATACTACATAAAATAGGTGATTATAACAATCTTAAAATATTTACGGTCCCAAATAAACCTCTCATCTCTCTCTCTATATATATATATAGAAAGGAGCGAGATGTATATATATAACTTTCAAAACACTATAAGGACCGAATTTGTAGTCTCTCTCTCTCTCTCTCTCTCTCTCTCTATATATATATATATATATATAGTCATCGTGGTATTTGAAAACGTTCCGATCTGGTCCCTCCAGCTAATGGCCCTTAATTTTTTTTGTTAAATGGGGGTGGGGCATTTTCGTCTTTTAATCGATCTTTTTGTTGTTTACTAATGAAAAATCACAAGGACTGGAATCATAAAATAGATTCTAATCAGGTAAAAGCAAAAAATAGATAAAATGACGAAAATGCACATAATTTAACGGAATTTTGTAACAACTGTTAAAGAAAATGACCAAATCTAGACGTTTTCATAAACCACGATGAACATCTTGTAATTTCAAAACTGTATGAATCAATAGAATTGTTTTCCACAAACCATAAATTTGTAGTTTACTTATATATATATATATATATATATATATATATTATATGCACACAAGTGGAGCCTCAATCCCTTCAATTAGAATCAAAACACATTTTTTTTTATTTCTTTCCCATTCTAATTGTCAACACACTCTCTTCTCTAGTCAACCCCTCCATTGAAGCAACCATGTGTTCCTCATTACCATCCCCACCCATTTATTGCTTTCTGTACTTGAATCCCTTTTCTTAATCCTCTTTGACTTTCTTTCAGTTCATACACCTCCCCCATCTTTCATTCCATTAACACCTCCTTCCATTCAAAAACTCTTCCTCCAAACCTCATCTTCATCAAAAATGGATCATCATCATCATTCATTCAAGAACCAGCAAAACTCTGGATTCCCAATCTTAGCCATTGCTGCACTCTGCATCGTGGCCACCGCCTTCTTGCTGGTCACCTACTACTTCTTCGTTACCCGAAGCTGCTTCAATTGGCAACAAGTCAATCCATTAAGACGCTTTTCTATCTCAAGAGACCGATCCACACCAGACCCCTTGTCATCCGCCTACTCTACTCCTCCTTGGCGGGTTCGTGGGCTAGATGAATTCATAATCCGTGAGATCCCCATTTGTCAGTATACTCAAACCGAAGGTAAAAAGAGAAGCTTGTATGAGTGTGTTGTTTGTTTGAATGATTTTCAAGAACTGGATACATTACGAATCCTTCCTAGCTGTAACCATGGTTTTCATCTTGATTGCATCGATATTTGGCTTCAGAACAACGCCAATTGCCCTCTTTGCAGATTGAGCATTTCGGGTGCACCTAGCTACCCGGTTGACCAGATTTTCGCACCAACTTCTTCACCCCAAGATCCTCAACCGAGCCCATCTGGGAGTAATCAAGATTTCTTGATAATTGAGTTGGGCGAAGAGGGAAATGGAAACGCAAACGGATCAAGATTGCAGGAACCCAGAAGTCATTCTCCAAGAAGGATTGGAAGGAAGAGACTAAAAACAAGAAAGTCTCATCCTTTTTCGATTATGGGAGACGAGAGCATTGATATTAGGGGAAAAGATGAGCGGTTTTCAATCCAACCCATTCGGAGATCGTTCTCAATGGATTCAGCTATCGACCGCCATATCTACTTATCGGTTCAGGAGATCATACAGAACGATGGGAATCTCCAAGAAACCAGGAACACCGAAGAGGGTAGTATCAGTGGCAGAACAAGAAGACATTTCTTCTCATTTGGGCATGGCCGAGGATCTAGAAGCGCAGTTCTTCCGATCGAGTTTTAGTAAATCGTTCTATTCTGCTTCGTTTCAAGTTCTTTTTCCTAATTTTTCCTGGGTTTTCATTAGACTTTCTAGATGGAATTATGTAGCTGGTTATAGAGACATTATTAACATAGTTGTGTAAAGCAATGATACAAAGATCACACATAAAGAAGATAGAATTGTGCTAAAATTGTGGCAATGGCATGGGTGTAAGAATGATTGCTACTTGCTAACATCACTTTGGCCTGCAGATACTTTCATGAATGAGAATCATTGTATCTTATCATCTAGAAATATGTTTGTCCATGTGGGTCCCATCACAATTTGAAATGGGTCAACCTTTTGACTTTGAGAGAAAGGTACCACTTCCAATACATGATGTACAAGTCGCTAGAGCAGTATCGGGTCGGGTTTGACCCTTTTTGACACTAGGCAAAGGGTATGATTTGCTATGGGTGAATGTTTCTTGGGATACTTTGAGTAATCATCAAGTATTATTGATCATGATTGCACCAAATCATCAATGTTTATTAGGGTTGCTGGTCTTTCAAGTTTCTCTGGCTTATAAATAAATAGCATTCCTTTAGTTCCATGCCAAGTCTTTGTTAGAATTTTTTATTTCCTTAAAGTAGCCTACAAGTCCACAACTACCATGAAGTTACCAAATATACCCTTATATGGTGTTACACCTAGTGTGTGTGTTGGGGTGGTGGACATGGCAATATGGCATTGTTGAGCCCATGGTTTTAAAAAGCGTTCGAGGCGTACGCCTTATGGCACTAGAAAATCGAGTCTGAGGTGGCACCTCTTATGGGTTAGTTGTGCCGTCCGCCTTGAGCCATTTGGATGGGCCTTGGGGCGGGTTAGAAATTAACTTATTGGATTTACCTTTTATAAAATTGACCCATTTTCTTGCTCGCCTTCTCCTCGTTATCATTTGTCATCTCCAACGTATTTGCTAGTCTCCCAATTTGAAGAGCATCATATATGTGTGTGTATATATATATACACTATCTTATTAAGCAAATTTATCAAAAGTCTTAAAATTTTAAATGACCAAGATACCCTTTATACTAGTTTTTCACTTTATACCCATATAATTAGTTAATTAATTTACTTTATGTCATTTGCTTTTAAATGTTTCATTTTAAACATTTATCAAATTAACATACATAATCGTATATCAATTAAAACATGTTTAAAAATTACATTTTTATTTTAACAAGTTACACCATTATAATCGTCTCGCTAATACCTTCGAAACGAGTCCAACATTGAATAATTTTTGACTTAATTATATTATTATATATTATATATACTGTGAAAAAATATTTTTAATATTTATGATTTATACTTTTATAGTTATTTATATATATATATATATATATATAAAATATTTTGGGGTTAGTCTGTCCAAATTGCACTGTATAATATGTTTTGAATTAATATGTTCTTGGGTTTTTTTGAAATATATATATACATGTATTAATTCAACCTTAATCTGAGTTTCTGGACAAGAAAGAGGGTAAACAGTTGAAATTTCATTCTAAAACTCATCTCTTTTGGTCTTTTCATGGCTTATGATCTGTCAAATTTGCAGTTTTCTTTATTGGTTTTGAGTGTTTATCTTAAAACTCAAGTTTCTTGATTCTTTGTGTAAATCGAACACATTTGTGGAGTCGTTTAAATATGTTGGATTTTAAATATATTGGATTTTAAATATATTGGATTTTAAACTGTCATAATAATTTTTTTCATCGATAGTCTGTAATTGGAACCATAACCCGTATTTATTCAAATTGTATTAATATGTAAATATCAAGTGTAACATATACCATCGTTAAATATTATCTTATAAAACCAGTGGAACTTCAAAATCGTTAAAATTCATGGCTCCCGCCGCATTGCGCGGGTATACAACTAGTATATATATATATATATATATATATATCTCAATTTGATGAGCATCACTTGTAAGTGTGTGCATATAAATATATATCTCAATTTGCCAGTGTAAATATATATATATATATATATATATATTTGCCTCGGGGATTACGCCTTCGATCGCCTTGAGCCTTATGTCTCGGCTCATTGAGGAAAAATGCCTTGTGGCGGAATTCCGCTTTTTTATACCTTGGTTGAGCCAACTATATTGTATGAGTAGAAACGCACATAAGAGGAAGTTAAAAGTTGAACAAACGAGGATGCTTAGATGAACATGTGATCGGACCATATTAGATATGATACTGAATGAGGTCTTTTGTGTGGAGTTGGGAGTCACGCCTATCACATGTAAATTGAATGATTGTGACGATTTGGACATGCGAGCAGGAGATCGATGGTGATTGGTGGAACCAGTGAGAAGAATAGAAAGTGATCGTTGAAGATTTGTAAAGATGAATATTATAATTATGTGTGTTTGTGTATATATATAGAGCACGCACGTTAGGTTATTTTGTTAACTTAATTTTTAGTGTTAATTTAGTGGATCAATAGGATTCATTGTTTGTAGTAGATTTCAATAAGGTATTGATTATGGGATGGAAGACATAACGGTAAATTATACATACACGTAAGTTACATTTTGTATTAATTAATGAGTGGTTACAACTTAATAGGTGCTTGATTGTTAGGATTATGATCAATTATTCAAATTACACAATGTATTATCGTTAAATAAGATTAATCTTGATGAAATTGTTAATTTGAGTAAACAAATCACAAGCAAACATTTTTTGAAAAATATGAATATTAATATACACAACAGGTAAATTGTTAATTCGAGTGAATAAATCACAAGTAAACATTTTTAAAGCATATTGTTAATGTTGTTTCCGGTGATATGAACGGTATGGAGAAAAATATCACGAAATCAGCGGTGAACATATTTCTATAAGTATACGATGTTTATTGTCTGTTAATATACGAAAAGAAAAGATGGAATAGCCAAGTGAAATTCATAAACGAAATCTATCTTTCCTACGGCCCACAAAGCAAAACACTTTGAGCAACAAAAACTTCCGACTAAAATCTTATAAATGTTGGTCGATAATAAGCTCACAAGAACGGAAAGCAAGCAGTAGAGTTAATTTAAAATGCTTCATCTAATAATCGTTTATATGCATTCGATAACTTCTAATCACCTGATGAGCGTGAGCTTCTCCTACGATGTTGAACAGGCAACGCCTTTTTCGAGTGTAGATCTTCGGATCCACCACAAGCTTTCACCTTTAATTCCTCAAGAACTCGTCGAGCTTCTTTGAGTTCGTCATGTGCACTTGGACCATGCCCACTCCAAGCATCAATTGCCTTTTCTTGGAAGTTTATCGCAAGAGCATAGCTGCACAACGAAAAGCAAATAAGACCACCAATCCATGTTGGTTAATAAACTAGTTGTTAGCTGATAAACTAGTCATGTTTGATAAAAAAAAAAACAGCTGATAATATAGATGACAAAATAAAATGACTTAAAAAAAATTAAAAAGTAACTGGAAAAAGATAAGAAAAAAAATTGGAGAAAACCCCTTGAGCTTATTGAAACACTACTACTTGAAGTAGTGCTTCAAAAAGCTAGCTTATCCCTAACCAAACGAGGCTTTTTCAATAAGCTAGCTTATGGTTTTCAAACATGACAATACATTAGAAACCCAAATAAATTCTTATTCACATATGAATATGAATTACTTACCTTCTCATTGCACTATATGCTTTTGAAAGATTTTGACATGCCTCAATTGAGTCCACATGATGAGGACCAAGGGAAGTGTCCATAACATCCTTTGCCAATGCAAAAGCTTGTGCTGCGGATTGCGGTCTATCGAGTTCTAGATACGCTGCACCCAAATTATTATACACATATCCAACTCCAAAATGCTTAGAACCAAAATTTTCCTTCAATCTTTCAGTTGCATCTTCCAAATACGGCACCGATTCTTGCACCTTACCCGTTAACAAAAGTAGCCATCCGATTCTAGCTGAAGCACTTCCGACTGAATGTTGCTCTTCCGGTATCTTTTCAAGCATCGCTTGTGCTCTTTTTAACAAAGAAATTGCAGTCTCGAATTCATTCATTGTCTCGTACTGCATCGATATCTCCATATACGCTTCAGATACTTCTAAAGGTGACGACTTCTCTTTCTTATCTAGAATCCCGCAAGCCATCTGTAAACACCGTTTCGTTTCTTGGAACTTTTCTTGATTACACAACGCTTTTGCCATAGATACGAAAATCATAGCTCGTTCTTCACTCTCTTTATCCGTCTGCAGAACCACACCCTTTAACGTATTGATCGCTTCATCAAATTTACCTAACGCTATTTGCATATTGGCTGCATCTATCTCAGCACGAAGCAAGTCAGAAGTACGACCCCAATTCTTCAAAACTTTTTGGGATAATTGGTTCTGTTCCAACGCCTTCCCGTGCTCTTCTAATCCGGTATAAATAACACCTAATAACCGTCTATCATGTGCAACTTCGACAGAATTACTTCCTAATTGAATCTTGTGAATCTCGATGGCTTTCATACAATACGGCAACGCTTCGTTAAAGCTCAAAAGTGCAACGAAAGCTTCCGCCATATCCCGATACGCATTTCCGAGCTCTCGACTGTCTTTCTCTAATGTAACCTCTTTAATCTCTAAACATTTTTTCAAATTACCAATTGCATCTTCTCTTCTACCCATTGCATTCTTGGTGTTGGCCAAATTAAGATGAACAGCATGTAAAACATGTTTGATATTGAAATCATTATCAGATATAGTTTCCTCTAGTTTCCCCAATATCCTATTGGCTCTATTAAGATACCCTAAACTTTCATTAAACCTATTTAAGTTATAACAAGCAGAACCCAACAATTGTAAGTTCATAGCAAGTGGTAAAGACGAATCATTGTCGATTTCATCCAAGATTTTTAAAGATTTATTGGCGTAATCGAAAACTTTTTCTGGATACTCACCTTCTTCATCGAGTTTGAGTCCGATTTTCAAGGAAGCTAAGCCAAGTTCGTGGTGATCGAAAGAAACATCCATGGATTCAAATGCTTTGATCATTTCTTCAGATGTCTTCGCACGTTCGAAATCGTCTACGATCTGTGATCTTTCTTTGATTTTTGTTTGTTTTGAAGGTAATTGAGAAGAGGGTTTCCGTGGATTCACTAGGGTGCTGAGATTATGAGATGGGTTATGGAGAAGACGGTTTGGATTTCTTGAGAACGGTGAAGATTGGGATGTGGAGTGTGATTTGAGATGAGGTTTAGATGGGTGGTGGTTGATTTGTTCATCTGTGGAAGAAATGGATGAAAATTGAGTGATGGAATGTTTGGAGAACAGAGAAATGGAAGATTTGGGGTGAAATTTTTGGAATTGGAGGTGAACAAGTCTCGATGAAGCTCTTTTCATGGCGAATTTTTGGATCAAATGGAGTTGCGAATCAAGGTTTTGGATGAACTTAGAGGTGGTATTTGTGAATTGAGATTCTGAGTTAAAACCCTAGCAGGTGGTGACGTCATTGAGCTGATGAATTTAACATGGGAAATTTGAGTTAAATTACATGTGAATTTATCTTCAATTTTCGTAATAACATCGTATGCGGGAAAAGCCTACAGTGACAACTTGTCATGCTGTTATGTAAACTTTGGGTTAGTTTTTCGTTAAATCATATATGAATAAAGTTGTTTGTATGAATTAATCAATCTATAATAAATTAAAGATGTCTTTGTTTAGTAATGTCTTTTCATAGATGAAATGAATATATTATTATTTAATCAAGAATGACAAGCTTAGAACAAAAAAACTTCTCTTTCTGCATAAAACTCTTCCTAAAAAAGCTTATTGAATAAACCACTTTCTATATAATTAAAACCATTACTAATAATATATATATATATATATATATATATATATATATAGTTGACTGAATAAGGTATAATACAGATATATCCTAAACAAATCATGAGATGGTTAAGTGATTTCTTGTTTACATCATCTAGTTTTAAGGTGATTCTGTACCCTTTAATCACCTTTCACCCAAACTTTTCAATTGTTTCTAATCCAACTTATATACAATCAAAGAATGTCCAAAGAGTTTTCTTCCCTCCCAACAGATTCACAAATTCATACCAGAAACACCAACATTACGAAAATGGCGGAATCCAAGATTCGACCGTTTTCCGTCCTACATATGGGTTCTTGGCGGGCTCTCAGAATGTCGATCATAGATATCATCAAAAGGGAGATCGAATTTCCCTCCTCCTTCAACATCATCCATGAAAAACGTTTTCGATAACCTGTTTGATGCCCTCCAATCAAACTGTTGATCTTCTTCTTCTTCTCCCTCGAAGCTTCGGTTTGAGAAATTATCATGGTGGCCGTCATAATCGTCATGGTTGAAGTTTGGCGGCTCAAGAAAGCTCGTCTGAGGTCCAACTGCTCGTGAACCGCCACCGTCTCCGCCCCGGGCCCACCAATGGCTACGACCCGTTTGGCCCATGCTGCCTGAATCATGATGCTGTAGGACACTTCTGTGTAGCAAAGGGGCAGATGTAGAAGCTTCCAGATTACTCCCAGCTCGATCCTCGAAAAAACTTCCCCAATTCTCGTCATACTGGTTCTGGTTCGGTCTTAAGTCGGGTGGGTCCCACACGTTCGCCATATTCTCGTCCACTTCGACCGTCCCTGATTCAATGTCATGATGATGGTGGCAAGATGTGTAGTACCAGTCGAGAATGTACGGGTGGTTCTTGTGAACGGGATCGATGAGCCAGATACAATCAAGTTGATACGCACTTTTCGAGACGTTCTGGCTCGTATTTTCTCTAGAAAAGTAGCTGTTTGGGTCACCTTGTCCACGTAAACTAGGAGCCCATTGTTGCATACGGTTCGGGCTTATGTAACCTGGTCTTATACCCTGCTCTTGAAGCTTTTGCTCCTTGAACGTCTTTAGAGTCGAAAGAAACCGCTTTCCGTCCGCATTTGGTTCCCACGACGGATAACTACTTTGAAAGCTGCGAAATATCGTAAAATAACGAACTTTTAAACAAATACGTCCTCCCGTCCCAGAGAAAGGAAAAACTTGCGTTTCTTGAATAGTCACACATTTGAATAATTTGAGGGTCGACGACAATACCTTAAGAACGATTTCTCCATTTTCCCTTGAGAACTTCTATATATCCGTGGCGAGTTATGTGGCGATGCATACTTGATGTTACCATGCATTTGGAAGTCGAATAAACTAAAACTGCAAACACATACTTATCAATATATATATATATATATATATATATATGCTCATTGAAGATATAGAAACCAAACTTGCAAAGCGGTAACAAAACATCGGATTGCATATAAACCTGCAAACATGACCAACACCTTCAACATCAACCGTGAAGTCCGCAATGAACTGCAAGATATCATCAACTCGCTGTGCACCAATTATGAAGTTGTAATCCCGTTAGAAACTAACATAATATTTTCCGTCCCGTTAGAAACACCCTAATAACCATTCATTTGTCCGGTATGCACATGTGCATATGGTTCTCAAATGAGCATGCCACATGAGCATCACGATAATGTTAATTGTGACGATAAATTAACATAAAAATACCTTCGGAACTACAAAGATAAGCAAGAACGGAGTTAGAAAGATTGATGCCATCTCCTCTAACAACATCTTTCCGGTGTACTACATAACAAAACACATTGCCACATCAGCATCACGAAGCAGCAAAATATACGATACACAAACGTCAGATGATTCATTTCAATATAGCGGTACGGCAAAAAGGGTACCTGAAAAAGAGTTTCAAATTCCACTCGAACAAACTCGGTGTTTTCTTTCCCACGCCATCTTTTAGGCATATAATGGCTATGTTGCAAAACAAGTGCCATGGTCCCATGTGGATCGAGTACTAGAAGCTCATCCGAGACAGCAGCTCGACTAATGGCGGTTATAGCCCCAAACACAGCTGCGTACCAAAACAAATTACGACCAAAAATCTGCATGCATAACGACAAGAGTTTAGTCAAAGCCGATCAATTTCCAACTTATCAAGTCTTTTCCAACAATTTTCAAGAAAACATTACATGGCCTTCAAGTAGAGACTCCTCGAGAAACGCAATGATGATCAAGATGGCAGCAAAGCCACCCGAAACAAAAGATACGAACTTTGCAATGATCGATAGAATAGGAGACGGGAATTGCTTTAGGTAATCCGAAGCATGTGTAACGCTGCTGTTTATCCGGTGCTTGAACAAATGATCCACCTATAAAAATGTATAATTTCAGACCTTTTTTGGGTAACCGTGGGTATCCGGGCCCGCTTGCGGGCACCTTGACTAATCCCATGGAGCCCTGAAGATAACAGCCAATAAAATCTTCAGTGCCCCCCGAGGAGACTTTGGCGGAATTCATAATAAATAAATAAAATTGGGCAAAAGTTCACCTCATTGTATTCCCTAAATATCCATTTTGAAAGATTTGACCATCGTCGAGAAGAAGCTGTACTGGGATGATTATAGAACTGTTCTGCGTGTCTTAGAAAGAGATACACGAGCATAAAAACAACGAGAAATGGCGAAAGGAGAAGCATCGCAATCCCGACTACCATTAGCCTTTTCTTTAACGTATCATGATCACGAACAAAGTCCTTTCTAATACAGAAGTTTCTGCGAAAGAATTTTACATGATTTCAATACATACGACTACTAATGAATCAAATAAGCTAGTAACGACCTCTTAGAGTGCGTTTGGTACTCAGACCGGACTGGTAAGGATTAGACAGACTTGATGGGCAAGAGTGAGGTACACGTATTAATTTTACATTTTAATTTGACATGGGTAGTTTAGTAATTTACCAATTTTGACCATCTCCTTGATTTTTTTCTCTGTTTGGTGACTCAATCTTGTCTTGTCCCAGTCTAGCATCATACATAAGACCAAAAACACCCTTACGGTGTTTTTATGGGTGCGTTTGGTACGTTTAACAAGACAGAATAGGGATTACTGTTCCACGTTTGGCAGGACTTCTATGTGCCCCCATTAAACAAGGTGAAACAGACCTATATTTTACCAATATAGCCTCAAAATAAAGCAAAATTCTCTTCCAAAACATCCCTCTTTACATTTTATTGATCCTTGAAAATTTATTTATTGTATTTTATGCTATTTAAAATTTCACTTTACTATCCTCAAAATATTATTATCTTTATACGGTTTCTATATTTTGATTAATTTATGTCATTATTAATTATTAATGACAAAAATAATATAGAAAATGTATAAAATAAAAATTGGAAAACTACATAAACTTTTTATTTTGGTATCATTTTAATCGTCTTGACAAAAACTTTCTAATGATATATCTTGTTATAAAAAATATTTATTTAATTATAATTTAATAAATTAATCAAAATATATAAACAACTCATTAGGGGTAAATTGGTCATCTTATATGTTCTGTCCTGTCCAATTCTGTCTTACCAAATGTTGAACAACTACTTTTCTGTTGTGTCCTATCCTGTCCGGATACCAAAAGCACCCTATATGATCATGATTTTTAGATCTTTATGAGAAAGAGCGAAAGAAATTACGAACCTATCAAACATGCTATGCAATATGCACCAATTTAAAGTCCACTCAAGGGTCTTCGTTAACATTAGGCAATACCGTGTACCATTTGGATCTTTCTTAACGGTGGGACCAGCACCCGGGATCCACGGAGAGATTGGGAAGGCGAGCACCCCTTTGTTAAGCATTCCAATCAAGTAGTTTTCCTTCCTCATCAACCGCATCACGATATCATGAGCGGAAAGATCCTTGACCACACATAATTGTTGTGAATCTTGAATTCTAACAACCTTCTCAAGAACGGATGCCCATGGCATAGTTTGTATCTCATTGTCAGTCACACCAAGACTTGCAACAAAAAGAAGATAAAGAGCGTTAATCAGAAACCTCTATTTTTCATTTAAAATTGGTTAAGAGTGTTAATCAGACCAAACCAAAATCCCATCTAGGGTCTGGGGAGGGTAAGATGTAAGCAGACCCGACCTCTACCTCAAAGAGGCAAGCAGTTGTTTTCGTGACACTACAACGAAATTCATTTAATAGGACGTCTAAAATGTAGAAGGGTCCTAAAAAGTTACTTTATAGGACTTAAGTTCTTAGAACCAAACCAAAAAGCTTCATATCGAAAAGTGTTACAATAGGTTTATATGACGTTTTAGGCGTTTTAACAAGTTTTTTAGGATGCTTTAAAAATAAAGTGTCGTATTAACAATACGACACTATGAAAAAAAATGTCCTATAAACACAAAGTGTCCTATAAAATAGCTAATAGGACACTATTTTAAAAGCATCCTAAAAAAGTTGTTAAAATGCCTAAAAACGTCCTATAAACCTATTACAACGCTTTTAGTTAGGACGCTTTATAGTTTGGTCCTATAAATCTAAGTTGAATAAAGTATTCTATTTGGACGCTTAGACAATTTAGGCGTCCTATAAAGCCAATTTTCTTGTAGTGTGAAGACCCCGACTTGTAAAAGGGTAGCAAAGAGATTACGGTGATGAGCAAACCAAACTCAAAACTCCACTTGGGGTCTAGGATGGTAAGATGCATGCAGACTCGACCTCTGCCCCAAACAATAAAGCAGTTGTTTCCCTGACCCCAACTTGTGAAAAGTGTAACAAAGAGATTACATCATTAATCAATACCTGTTAATGTAGAATTGGCGGATTTCTAGTGTATCTTTCAGCTGTACAAAGAACCTTAGAAAGCAAAAGATCCAGTAAATGAAGGTGATTCCCAAATAACCGAGGATAACAACTTTAAAAGGCGTTAGAGGTGTCAAAGGATGCTGATGAAGAGCCTCCTTAGCAAGATCACATGGTTTAATCCCGGATTCGACTGCATCCATCCCACATTTTGCACTTCGAAGACCATTCCAATCGACAAATAATAAGAAAAATCCCGAAAAACATATGGTAAAGGCCAGGCTCAAAAGTTCAACAATCCACTTAATGATGATGCACCATAGACCTTTCTCGCAATAGTAGCTATAAAGCCGCTCAAAGAAGAGATCTAAATCAGCAATTGGTTCGACCTTCAAGCTTTCACCATTAAGAAGCCCAGAAGGACTTTCACTACCATTACTAGGTGCTCGTTGGTAATCGGATAACTCGATTTCAGGGGGAACATTATTAATCGATCCTGTTGAAAAAGATGATTCGCCAAGCAATTTCTGTTTCAAATGGTGGAGAGCTGTGGCGCCTTTTTGTCCACTGAACATCGTTCATATAAGCTTACGGATATGCAAGAACAAGTCATCCATCCCCCAAAAAGGTTTAAGTATTTACACCAAGATTCTGAAAAGGGTGGAAAATTATATAAGATAATGCAACAATCAAATGATATTCTTTTCAACACAGATAAAGAACGACCAAAGAAACCTCCATTTAGATTAGTTTAATGGTGATTAAAGAACAACCATACTTTTGGCATATTTCTAAAATAACCATCAAACTATTTCCATATTTTGGTTCACTTAAACACGTTTCTGAAAGGAAAGTAAGCAAATAAAGAGAACCAGATAGAGGCCAAATGGCAAATATGTGATACCATTTCATAGAACAACAATTTTCCAACTTCTAAACACTTATGGATCATCAAGAAATGCACCGATCAAGAAACTTGAAGCCAACCCTCTCATGGAAATTGTTATAAATAAATAATATATAAAGAGGGAGGTTCAAGGGAAAACCCTGGTAAACCATTCATCTGGACAGTATGCACATGTGCATACAGGTAACTGAAGTTGCTTCTTGGTTTTTATGCACATGTGCATACCGGATAAATTGCTTACAAATTACTTCTATGCATATGTGCATACCATCTAGATGAACGGTTACGAGAGTGTTCTTCAGTTTTTCATTTTTGTGCGGTTTTCCCTGAACCTGATCTTATATATATAGTAAATATTCCTATATATTCCTATTTGTTTTTAATACATTTATATTTCTCCCTTTCACACCCTTTTCACTAGTTGGGGATCTTGACTCTACTCTTTTGGGTAGAGGTCACATCTACTTAATCTTATCCTCTAGACCCCACCTACGGCCGGGATATACCGGGCTTGTTTGGTTATGAGATCATATATAGTAAATAGACATTTGACAGACTTCACAAGAAAACAATCCCACTAAAGATTACTCTTTTGTTTGACCTAAACAGTCAAGAATTGCTTGATACTACTTACATAAACCTCATAAAAAACACTCCCTTTTTACCACATTTTTCACAAGGATATCAAACCATAGGCACCCACAAGTTCTCTAATAGTATTTTAGCGTTCAAATTTAGGGAAAAAGAGAAGATCACTACAAGACTATCAAATTAAACATACCCAACAACTTATAAGCATCTAATTGCATATATTGCGAACACACACATATATATATCTATATATATACACATGAAATCACTAACCAATTCAATCAAGTTTATGCAATAGAAATATATCAAATGTGTCCACTTCTCTCACAGAAGCTCCAAGAAAAACCAATAGCACCTGGAAAAGATAAAGAAACAGAAGCTCATATAGTTATATCATGAATACAAATTTTGTATCTATATAACAATTATATCATCCAACACCAAACAATAAACCTTCCCAAGCTAATGTTCTTCAAGAAATTTGGGGCATAATCAGCTGTCAATTAAATCAAGCCCACATCAAAAGATTCAACAAAATCCACTTGGGAATCAATCAAATAAGTAAATATTATTTGTAATTTTGTTGGAAATCCTAAAACTCAAAACCTTACCCGTGAGAAAAACCAAGAAACAAGCAAAACCCTCTTCACCCAATTCAAATTGATTCTTCTAACCAAGAAATTTTCACTGTAAACCCCAGAAAACTGAATCGATTAAACCACCGAAACCCCAGAAAGGATTGAGCAATTGAAGTAAGAAAAGTACGATTAAGTGGGTCACAGAAACAAGAACACGATTGGAAGGAAGGAAGCAGAAAGGATGGCAAAAGAGAAATCTGATTGTGATTGCGTGAAGGAAAATACAGAATTCTTTTTTCCCCCTTTCTTTTTTATGCTATGATAACTTTTTTTTTCTTTCAGTCCAAGAAGCTTTCTCTCTCTACAATTTCTCTCTCTAGAGTTTGATTTAACAAACAAAGACGAAGACGTGAGATTGATAATTACTCCTGTTTTCTCGTAATCAACTATGCATCAGACTGCAGCCGAGCGGCTTAATGGGCTATGGATAGAATTGGGTTTAATGGGCTATTGATAAAGTTGGGCCTAATGGGCCTGGGCTATGCTTTGGATTTTTATTTTGATTAATCAACGGCTAATTAATTAAATGTATACCTAATTTGGACACCAACGGTCATAAATTATAGGCGTAATGCTATATAAAGGTATAGATGGTTTTTTTTTTGAATATTTGTTATCTTTAAAAGTCCTTTGATCTTCGTTTTTCTGTAACTACGATTATTTTTTCATATAATGTTCGTCATTTCATCTGCTGGCTGTGAAGAGGTGAAGCTCGGGTTTTAAAGGAAAAGAGCTGAACTCCTCGAGATTTGGTTATCGACAAGAATTATCTCAGAGAATATAATCAGGTTTCGCTTTCATTTATTTTTCCGTTGGTTTAGTTTTATTTTCTTTTTGCAGGAGAAATTATTTCAAAGCGTAATTGATACCTATTTGTTGAGGTTATTATACATATTTTACGTGATTGTATTATACGGAATTGATTTTACTATAAAAAGTAGTTTTTTTATCAAAAGATTCTCAATTTGTAAAGGTGAAAATTCAGATTTAAAAGCTTTAAAACGTGATTTAATTTTGGTATATAAATTAATACGTGATTTTTTAATACAAATAGACAAAATTCAAATTTGAAAAGGCCGAAATTGTAAATTTTCATACTTGAGGGTCTAAAATTGATTCACTTAAAATAAACGCTGCAAACATTTAAATTTTTTAGGTCAAAATTAAAAATCTTCAAACTCGAGGGACCAAAACGAAACATAAGGAATTACAAAAATCACCCTTCCTACGTCCACGTAGGATTTAGGCGCGAATGCTGACTTGTCAATCACACACGTCAGCTTCTAGCTAGGCGTTCGCGCCAAAAAACCCTAGTATTTCACCGTCTCCCTCCATCTCCATCTCCCATCTCTTTCTCACACACACACGCACACTCTCTGTGTAAATGGATTCCACCGGAGTTTCGCCGTCGGCGTACGAATCGTTCAAATCGAAGAAAGTCCTCCGCTCCTCCGTCAGCAAACAACATTCCTCCGACGAAGCGGTTGCAGCACCGGATCAGAGTCCATGGAGCTCCAAAACCCCTGAAAAGCCCACACATGCGCCTCGGAGACCTATCACCCGGCGGCAAGCACTCCGGTCGGTGAATCAAGTCAGGGAAGCGGCAAAGAAACTCCAGAAATCAGATCTGAAGCCTTCTGTTTCCTCTGATTCGTTAACGTCCTCTACTCAGCCAATCGAAACTCCAATCGCAAAACCAAACACCTCGAAATCGCTTCCAGAAAAGTACGTTTCGTTTCCTCTCTTCGATACTGTTCTTTATTGAAAACTATGTGTTCTATTTGAATAAAATGCTGATGATAGGATGTATATTTGTGTTTAGGTATGAAGTATTGGATAAATTCTTCAACAGCTTGGAATCTTCTATTCGACTTCTAGGGTTGAAAGGATCTATGTCTACATTTACAAACATTAGCCGTACGGTTGAGAGCTTAACAGATAGGTATGCGAAATGATTTGTACAAAAACTTCAAGGTATTTGATGGTATATTGTGTTGGTCTTCTAATTCGTTTTCTGGCGCATTTGATCGAACAGGAGGTTTGCTTATAGTCATTTGGCTCAGCTCAAATTTCTTTTGCCTGAGGGGATTGAGATAAAGAGGATTCTGGTTCGTGATGACCGGACTAGTTGTATGAAACCGGATCTTCATGTGACTTTGAATTTCAGTATCATTCAGAATGATGAGAAGCTGAAATCAGATAGTGGGAATATACAGATGAGGAAGTTGTTTCGAGCCCGGCTTGTGAGCTTTTGTAAATCCAATCCTGAGGTATTCATATTTATTGCATCTGCTATTTGATTTCGAATTAGGTTTTGTTTGATGCACCCACTTTTTGCTTCACATTCTTTCTTGTTCTTGAATTGTGTTTGTGATTATAGGAGTAGATTCAGATTGGTAATCAATAAACTCATTTTGTTAGGTTTTTAAAGAATTCTTGAGATTTCTTGATGCTATGCAATGTTGTATTCAGTTATGCTATTTGAGACTGTAATTAACAGTACAACTTTTTTATTAGGGAGATGAAGTTCCAGAGGAGCAGTTACCGGAACCATTTAATCAATTGAGCCGAGTGGTATCTTTAAATCCAACGGAAAACCCGAACATGGTCTCAGTTCAAGGTACAACAAATGCAATTGCTGAACCGCAGCCAGCGGTGGCATCTCATATGTCTCAATCTTTCAAGAGACGTTTCTCAAAACGAGCTCCAAGCCCTGAAATAGAAGCTACGGAGCAAAAATCTCAGGAGTTGACTCCTGAAATTCAGGTTCTCCCTGCTTTAAAGCAAGTCTCTGATCATAGCTCCACCAAAGTTGCTTGTGTATCAAATCTTGCATCTCCAGTTAAGTGGTCTGCAAAGTTACCTGAAACTCCAATCAAGAGCTCTGATTTGGAGAAAAAGGAAGATCTTTCTTTCATGGGAGCTGCATCTATTGATGGAACTCCCTCGAAGCTTATTTCGACTCCATTCAGTGCCACGCCTGCACAAGCTGCACGGCCACCAGTAAGATGTTTTATGTCTCCGGATGAAGATTCGATAATGTCTCCTACCAAATTAGCCCCTAGAAAATTAACTAGGCGTTCAAGTGGTAGAAGATCAATAACATTCGACACTCCTGTGAAGAATAGAACGCCTCATGTTGAAAGGGCATCCTCTGATGATGATCTTCTTGATATTCTTCCGGTGGATCTCCTTGCATCGGTAAGCCCATTTGATTCGCTTGATTTATGGATGCTGTTTGGTTTCTATATGATGAATTATATCACAACTTACAATCTCTCTTTTCAGATTAAAGAAAAAGAAAGAAAAGCAATAGAGGAGAATGATCCAGCAATCTCACAGGCAAAGTGGAGGAAACAAATGATTGCAGGGTTACCCAGACTCTTTGACATACTTCTATTTTTCTTTCAATCAATCAAGCGGTCAGTCATCACGAAAGAGGAGCTTGTGCACAGGATCATTTCAAACCATTTGGAAATTGTCGACAGAAGTAAGCTTTTATTATGTTCACAGTCAAATTCTATACCATTTTCACCATTATGAAAAACTCGAACCTAATCCTGATTTTACCTACAGGAGAAGTTGATGAACAGCTCAGATTGTTGCTAGAACTAGCTCCTGAATGGATTTATAAAAAGATGTCATCCACCGGTGATCTTCTCTTCTGGTAAGACCACACCGTCCTTTTTCACCAATTTGTATCAAATTCAAAGTCTTTTTAGCTCAATAACCTTCTCCAGAAGCTGGTTTTGCAAAAGGACTCTTTGGTGTATTAAGTTTTTAACGAGGGCAGATTGTATTCAACCTATTTTCAACGGGGCCCTTCAAATGAAGGTCAATGGGCTGGTTTTGCAAAATGACCCTTTGGTCTATCTCTAAGTTTTTAATGAGGGCAGGTTGTTTTCAACCTATTTTCAATGAGGGCATGTCAGATGAAGGTCATTGAGCTAAAAAAGAAGTTTAATTCATGTTCCTAATTGAAAACAGAAAGGACCCTTGAATTCAATGCAAAATGTTTAGAATTAGAATTTTGCTTGACAAATTTTCCTCCATTTGCAGCGTTAACAAGATCTCGAGCCCAGAGTCAATACGCACAAGACTATCAGAAGCCAGCTAAGAGAAATGTCCGGTAAATTGGGCTGTAAATCTTTTCACCCTTAGATTATTTAACGATGTTGGCTTCATCTGGCTCAAACTAACAGCTTTCCTATGAATCTTACTCGTAAGATTTTTACCAACTTGCGATCCTCTTTGTACCTTGTTTCACATCATAGGCCAAGTATCTGGTTGTATGCTGCTTGATTCAATCAAATATGAAATAAAAAAAGAAACTTTTAACATAACCCTTTTGTCTCTTCATTTGTTATACTTCATTGTTTAAGTCCCTTGATTTCACCTCCCTTTTTCTTGTCCTTTCTTCTTGTAATTCTTGAATCAAGAATCTTTTTAGTTTGTAGATTTCCCTTCTTATAGCAGTAGAGAAGTTGATAAAAGATTTGAAACCAATTGTATTTTATACCCTTTTGGATCTTTAAAGATGAGGCAAAGAGAAATGTTGGAATTTAGGACACCCCAACACCCATCTTTAGGTACCAATAACTGGGGTGGTGCTTCTCCTCTTTTAGCTAGGGATATACCAAAAGAGTCCTTAGAACAGAAGTATCTTAGGTTCAACACCATCCGAACACACGATGAGATCTTTTCTGTTCACGAGAATGTGTTGGATCAAACTCGAATTGAAACCAGTAAACCGAGCCGAAAAGGGTTGTTGTTGAAGTTGATATGGCCGGATAAAAAAGGAAAGGAAAACGAGGGAAAATTGAAGAAAAAGAGATGGTTGCCAAAGCTCGACCGAAAGAGGAGATGGCCACAAGGTTGGTGATTAAACTTAAATATGGTATAAATAGCCAACGATAGAACAGCATGAGATTGTTATACAGTTGTAGTTTCACTTGTCATCAAATCTATCATTGGATTCTATTTTTGTTGTTCAAGGTCTATGTACTGGTGTTAATACAAGTTTCATTTGCAGTAAAAAAGACATATCGATGAAAGTCTGAAAAAACCGAACAGATTTTTCATATTTTAATATCATTGAACATTTGCTTCGAACAAATAAGTAGTTGCACTTGTTGAAACCAATCAAATTCATCCTTTTGATTATGGGTATTTGTGTTGCGTTGTGGTTTGGTTTGGTTTAGGACCAAGCGACATGCATTTTGAAGATTTTAAACAACGGCATATGCCTCAAACCGCAAAAAACCTCACTGTATGATGCGGTTTATGCAGTTTATGCAGTTTAAACCTAACGCGTTTCACAACTTCAAAATAAATTCGACGATGATACTTCTATATTTTATACAAGAAAAACTTTTGATACGTACGAAATACGTAATTAGAAAGGTGTAAAATACAAACTAAATAGTTCGATAATTACTTCGTAAAGCTTAAAAAGGAAAATCGAAAAATTGATAAATAATGTAATCTATTTTCTTTGGAATTATGTAATAATAAATTTTACCGCGATAACTAATCCCAATTATTTTATGGTTAAAATGACCATTCTGTTCAATTTCAGTAAATACCGAGATTTATTTGTTAAAAAAAATGTCCATCGACTTATTCGCTTGAAACAGTTGCTTCACATACTGCTTTGCTACAGCATAAAGAAAGGAAGGGATGAGGTTCCATCTAGTCCTTTAGCTTTATAGTGAGCCATATATTCTTTATGGTTCGTTTCCCGATATATCGGTCCACCCCTTTCCGATAGCAGCTCCTTTATCGGGCCGTATGGCTTACAACTATTAGCCGTACTTGGATAAAAGAAACACGCAGCCGATATCCTGGGCCCGATTGGTGCAGCCAGGACCCTATGTTCCACGCTCTTGAACATGTCATTTGTGATCAACTACATACATTCGTATAGAAGAATTTGTATGAGAACAAATGAAAAGGCGTAACTATTTCATTAGTTAAGGTCATTCATAGAAATAACTGTTTTGGTCTTTGAAATATAGGTCAGATCTGTATACATCTTACTTAACCTTTCCAGATCCCGGCTCTAAGTGGGATATACCCATAGGTTTTAAAAGGTGGAATCGGTTCTTTAGGCGTTTTACCTCAACAAGGTGAGGCTTAAGCCACGAGGCGGAAATATATATACACACCAAAATCTGTATATATACTACACAAATATATATATATATATATATATATATATATATATATATATACACACACACACATTTGTGTAAGTAGATAAATATATATAGAGAGGGGGGAGATATTTTACAAATCCAATCATTAAGTATGCAAACCAATTAATTGAAATATTTATAAAAATGATGAGTTGTAGATATTATAATTTGAATATTTATGAAAAATTATCAGAGTTAATTTATTATGATCTAACACTTTATGTTAGAAAACAACTGAAATATTCATTTTTAACTAGATGAACGGTTGAGATTGGTTTGAAAAGTTTGTACTAATATTATATCATCCGAGGCATACGCCTCGACACCGCCTCACTGAACCAAGACATAAGCCTTGGTCAGGGTCCAAGAAGCGCCGCGCCGCCTCTGGTGCAGTTTTGGGCTGCCTCGTCTCGAGACTTACGCCTCAAACGATTTTTAAAACTATGGATATACTAGGCTCATTTGGTTTATGTTTACATTACCTGCATAAGATCACCAATATTTACTATCAGTGCCTCTTTGACCGGTTGCACGTCTACCCATTGGTTTCGGTGGAGAACCTGGAGACCGCCGATACTATCTTGAAGGAGAATTGTAAGGTAAGATGGGTCCGAGTGCCTTGTTGCTCCTAGAGTCAAGTCTGGCTCCGGGCAAGACGGGTAGTAATGGCAAACGAGCATTTCTGTTCTTGTGCAATTGATGTTTGCTAGGTAGCCGGTGCCGAGTCCTAGTGCCTCAGATAGCAACTCCGCTAGTTTATCTTTTAGATCGATGATCTTTTCCATGTAGTTCGTTATTGCTACCCTGCAAGCCACAAAAGCATAGTTATAAACGTAAAACGTCTTTCATATTTTTCACAAAGCAGGGTTTTCACGAAAACAATCTCTCTACCTTTTCTACATGGAGGATAGGTCTGCGTATATCTTACCCCCCAACCCTATCCTATATGGGATTTACTGGATTTGTTTGGTTTGGTAAGGGGTTGTTAACTATCTGCTAACCGCCTCTTAAAACTGTTTCTCGATTTTAGAGAATGTGTTGGAGCATGAAAAACCCCAAAATCTCAATTTTCTTGTCAGAGATGTTGATGTTGCTGTTTACCATGCATCTCTTATGGTCTGTTTGTTAGCAGCTTAATGGGCTCACAGCTTATTTGGTCAGCTATACATGATTGTTTGGTAGTAGCTTAATGATATAGAAAGTGGCTTATTCATTAAGCTTCTAGGGAGGAGTTTATGCAAAAAGCGAAGTTTTTTTCCGAACCTTCCCCTCCCAGTTAAAAACATGCTCCTTCCATCTATGGAAAAAACCTCACAAACAAACACATTTCCAATCTATACAGACAGATTAATCCATATAGGACTTAATGGAAAAGTGAAAACCGACCAAACAGGCCCACTGGTCCATAATGCTGACCAAGATGCTGACTTGGTAAGCTAAGGCGGGACTCTTACGCGGGTCAGTGATTGGCGTTGACCCAGACTGCACTATTACGCAGTTAGCGCACCCAATTCGGTAACTCCTAAGTTCTTGATGCATGCATGAGGACATCGGGCTTCGAAAGAATCGAGTTGAAAGGATGTAATACCTGCAAACTTGTGGCAATGCATCGGGATCAAGTGTACCATCAGCATAGTGACAAGATATCGAGTCCCGCCAGTTTACAGCTTTCGACACGTAAAGATCTCCATTAGAGTAGTACTTTACCTTCTGCTCATGCTCCCGTGAGTACCACTTCATCTTCACCTCCTTCGGTTGCTCATGGAACCGTTGTACGCCTTCTATCATCTCTTCCAAAACACTACCCGGAATCCCATGGTTAACCACTTGGAAGATCCCCCAACATTCCGACGCTTCCCTTATTTCAGCAACAGTTTTCGCTCGTTTCCCACTTTCAACGCCTTTTAAGTCTATCACCGGGACTTGGAAGTTCACATTGCGAGTTTCTGATGATGGGGTTTGTAGCAGATTCTCCGGTGGATGGACGAACATCTTGGGGATTTTCAGTACACCAGAGTCTAGGAGTCCTTTGACTCCGGCTTTAGTTTGGTCGAAATCGGCTTTTGCTCTATGGTAATCTTGGTTGCTAGCCATGGTGTTAGAAAGAAAGCTGAGAGAAATGGCTGAATAAAGAAGACCATGAAGTGGCTAGATGACAAACTCGTGATTACCTGTAACTAGTACCTAGAGAACTGATCTACATACAAGGCCCCGCCTTCTTGGCTTTGCAAGGCGGAGTTTGGACTCATCTCCACGCATACAGCCACACTATTTTTCGTTTTATTTTTTGGCAAGATTGTGGAAGCTGGGAGGTGATATGATGGTGACTGGGGTTATCCACGGGCACCAACTCCATTCGTTTATATATATATATATATATATATATATATATATAATTGCATTATTTACCAAGACCAATTAGGAGAAGTTTACAGACACAAATTGGGTAGCCACGGAATTGAAAATGGTTGTTTACCAAGTGTTATGTAGTAAACGTTTACCAATAAAAATATTATCATTATAGAGGGAGGTTCAAACAAGAATATGGTCAAGATATGACAACACGAAAATGGCCAAATCACATGTAATTTTCCACTGCAATCACATGCAATTACAGAACACAGTTTAGCACAAGAGGTGTGCGGGCAACTTGGCTTGCAACCTAGGTTGCGCAAAGTGATTTGGTCATTCTCGTGTTTTCTTATTTAGTCATCGTCCTCGAAAAAAGGGCGGGCATGTAAAGCAAGTAAATTGACTTGGTAAGTGAAATAATAGAACTGGCCAGATAGGAGCTTGGTCAACACTTATAGTCAGATCAGTCCCTACATAAACAATTGATGCTAACCGAGTTCAACAAAACATAATTAACCATTTAAAAGTTGCCCATTGTTTCTGATAATGGATTTCATGAACAATGTTGTTCATCGGGCATCATCTACTACTTCAGAAAGTCCTAGCAAGTCTATGGCAATCGCACATAAGGGTCTAGAGGTGGATTTCGTATGGCACTGTTTCTTTGTACTTGCATCTGTAAAACCAAACCAAACCAAACCAAACCAAACCAAACCAAACCAGAATATCCCAGAACAGAGGTAGGGTCTGAGATTGTTCTTGTATATCCAGATATTCTAGCCCTTTGTGGTTGCTATTGTTTTCAGATATACGGACAAGTGGGCTGGTGCATATCTCCTAACAGGTCCTCCAAATCCTCGTAGAAGAAAAAACATAAAAGTCCAAACATAAGAAACAAAAGACTACAAAGGACATTGAATAGGAAAAGTAGTACCATAATCAAGTAACGTCTTTGGTAGTAAGCTAGAAAACAAAAGGGCAAGGGAACAAATTCAGTGAAAATGTTTCACGAAATTCCCAAAACCAAACTAAACAAACCCAATAGATCTATCCCACCTGAAAATAGGGTTTGAGGTAAGATGTATGCAAATAGTGCCATACGAAACCCACCTCTAGACCCTTATATGTAATTGCCTTAGACTTGCTAGGACATTTTGAAGTAGGACATGATGCCCGGTGAACAAAATTGTAAATGAAATTCATCAAGTACTTTCAAATGGTTAATGATCGGTGTTTAGTTAAACTCGGTCAACATCAACATGATTACCTAGGAATTGATCTAACTAAAAGTGTTGACCGAGCTCCTACCCAACCAGTTCCATTACTTATGAAGTTAATTTACTTGATTTACACACCAAACCTTTTTGTGATTAGAGTTTTCAATTTAACATTTAATTATATAGAGGGTTATAGTGATAATCTTTTTCTTGATGTTTCAAGAGACAGAAAGGTTGTTTCCGGGAATTTCAAGAAATACCATAGCAAACAAATGCTTGGGTCGAAATGACTACCACCAGAAACAAGCATCCAATCATTTCATCTTGGCCTCGGTGAAGAGAACATGGCGATTAACACGCGGATCGTACTTCCGGAATTCTAGCTTGGTCTGTACCCTCCTTGTACTACTCTTCTTCACATAGAAGAAACCAGTTCCTGAAACCAATCTTATGAACAGTGTTGCACTTTTCTTCTTCTCTCCCATTCTTCAATCTATACAAAATCCAAACCTTGAGCAAAACAGATCAATCTAAACAATATCAGATCAAATTCTTCAACCAATTCATACGACTGGTTAGCATTTTTCTGAACCAGGATAATAAAGGATCAAGTACAGT